GTCTCTGAATGTAGAAAACTACCAAAGGCCAAGGGGGGAATGAGGGTCTATGAAGTGGGAGCCTCTAATTTCTGGATTTCATCTTGCAGTCAAAAGCGTTGGAGCCATGGAGAGAATAATGTCAAGTGAGTAACCACAAAATATGATTTTGGTACAGATCACCTTTGGGGTGGAAGGGAGAACAATCCAGATTAGCCCAAGTGAAGCCGTGGCAGATTTATAGCTTCCTTGCAATGGGAAATATCAGATCATTACATAGAAGGAAGTTTGTTATGGACCAATGTATTTATTGATTTATAAATCACAATTTGTTATCTGCCCAGTAGTCAAATCTCTCTGGGCAGTTCACAATAACATAGACACACACAAACACACACAGAGACACAGAGGGAGAGGGAGATGGAGAAAAAGAGAGAGAGAGAAACAGGAGGGAGAATAGGAAGAGATAGGGGGAGAGAATAGAGGGAGAGAAACAGGGAGAGAGAAGAAATGGAGAGAAGGGGAAAGAGACAGAGAAACAAAGAAAAAGAAATGGAGTGAGAGAGAGGAACAGGGAGAGAGAAATTGGGGGAGAGAGAGAATGGAGAAAGAGAAATGGAGAAAGAGAGAGAAACAGAAAAACACAGAAACAGGGAAAGAGGGAGAGAAAAACACAGAGAGAAACAGAGAGAGAAATGGGGGAGGGGAAGAAATGGAGAGAAAAGTGGACAAAGAAAAAGAGAAATGGGGAGAGAGAAAAAGAGAGAGAGAGAAATGGAGAAAAACAGGGAAAAAGAAATGGAGAGAGAAACAGACACATAGAAACAGGAAGAGGAAGAGAAAAAAGGAAAGAGAGAAAAAGAAATAGAAAGAGAGAGGAAGAGAGAAAGAGGGAAAGACACACAGAGAAGGAGAGGCACACACACAGAGAGAATTTGAGCTGAAACATACACGTTGTAGTAAAAGTCAGGCTCCATTGATCAACCACAATATGCTTTATTCATTTGATCTTTCATCCCTGATCAAGAGGTAAAGCTCTAGCAAAAGTGACAGTAAATGAAACAAATTGTCGGCTGTGCATAACAATCTCCCTGAAACCTTCCATAAGACCTCGTATGGGGAAAGGGGAGGGAAGTAACACTGAGGCAGGATGAGTTTGTGGGAGATGGGGTCAAGGTGAGTAAAATGGCAGTCCTGGCTGACTGATTGATTGATGTATTGATTGATTGACATATTAACATATTGATTGATTTATGGGTGCTGGAGATTACCCTTGTCGGAGGCATTTTAACAAGCAATGATAGGGACCATCAGTTTTGCTTTCCTGCTTTCCTACTAAGGAAGCCCTGCTGCATTTGAGTGCATTTTTTTAAAAAAAATCTCCATCAAGTTTTTGCAGAACACATTTTGAAAAACCCTTTTCTAGATCACTCTGTAGTGTATTCAAATAGAGACTTCTAAGACTACATTCCTATTGGGTAGTTAAAGTAACAAAACGATTGGTCAATAATGACAGTTGCGGATTGGCCGCCTAAGCGGCGGGAAGTTTAAATAGATGCCATTGGTTGCGAGCTGCGAGAAGCCGCTATAAAAGGGGCTGCCGTGGCTCAACTTCAGTTGAAGTTACTGTTTACTAATAAAGAGCTGAATTCAACTCCGGTCTTCGAGTCTCTTTAATCCGGCGACAGAACACTGGCGACGAAGGTGGGATTGAAGAGACAAAGACCGTAAGCACGTGGCATCAATAGCCGAAGGACCGACAAGATGGCCGGCAACAATTTGCCACCCGCACTGTTCAACCCAGCCGAAGAAGACTGGGAGTCATACATTGACAGATTCCTGATGTTTTTAGAAAGCAATGAGCTACAAGGACTTAAAGGGGTGGTACCCTACTTCGATGATGTATTAATTTCAGCCGAAAACAAGAAACAGCTAAAAGACCGATTGAGGGCAGTTTTGGCAAAATTTAGAGAAGCAGGCATCAAAGTTAAAAAAGAAAAATGCCAATTTGCCACAAACCAGGTCGAGTTCCTGGGATAGCTTATAGATGAAGCAGGAATCCACCCCCCACACAAAAAAATACGAGCAATAAAGGAAGCTCCCAGACCCAAAAACAAAACGGATTTACAAGCATTTTGGGGACTCATTAATTTTTATCATGTCTTTCTGCCACAGAAGGCAACAGTAGTGGAACCACTGCATAGACTCCTCGATAAAAAGGCCAACTGGAAATGGGGCCACCAAGAGGAAACAGCATTCCAAAAAACCAAAGACTTAATCACATCAAAATCCGTATTGATCCAATACAGCGACACACTACCTCTAACTGTCACCTGCGATGCTTCACCTTTCGGCATAGGCGCAATACTCAGCCACACATTACCAGATGGCAGAGAAGCACCAATCGCCTTTTATTCCAAGACGCTATACAAGACCGAAAGAAACTATAGCCAACTGGACAGGAAGCCTTGGCAGTCATATTGGGGGTGAAACGTTTCCACGAATACCTATATGGTAGGACATTTTCTTTAATTACCGATCACAAACCATTATTAGGAATCCTAGCCGGAGACAGAGCCACCCCCAATATCCTGTCCCCAAGGATGACTAGATGGTCAGAATTTCTAGCAGCCTACAATTACAAACTCATTTACCGCCCAGAGAAAGCCATATCCCACGCAGGTGCATTAAGCTGATCACTACTTCCAGGTCATGATGACGATCCAGCTCCCACTACACACACCCTACAAATTGAGACTATCCCAAATTGGCCCATCACCGCATCGGACATCACAAGGGAAATGGCAAAAGATGCCCTAATGGCTCGAATATTGAACTGGGTAGGATGGGGCTGGCCGGAAAACATAAAAACTGAGACTTTTAAACCTTTTAAAAACCAGCAAACTGAATTATCAATTGAAAAAGGGTGCATTTTGTGGGGAGACCAGGTAGTTGTCCCTAAAAAATTACAAGAAGACATGCTGAACATGTTACACGAAGGACACCCTGGCATGGTAAAGATGAAGTCCCTGGCCAGAAGCTACGTTTGGTGGCCAGGATTGGATAAAGACATTGAAACCTGGGTTAAGACATGTAACAAATGCCAATCATCCAGGCCCACCCACCCCTCCAGCATCGGTCCGTGACTGGGAGACACCCAGAGGCCCCTGGTCAAGAATCTATATGGACTTTGCCGGCCCCAGAAAAAGATATACTTACCTAATCATCGTGGATGCCTATTCCAACTGGTTGGAAGACATTATCATGAATTCAACCATGACAGAAGCCGTCACCAAACAACTTAAAAAACTTTTCGCCACCCACGGTCTACCAGATGTAGTAGTATCGGACAATGGGCCACAGTTTACAGCCTTGGCCTTTGAACAATTCCTAGCGGAACATGGCATACGACACGCTTTGACAGTGCCAGCTCATCCAGCAGCAAACGGCAGAGTGGAACGCATGGTTCGTTACATGAAAGAAGCATTGGAAAAGCTCGACAGAAACGATATGCAAGAAAAAATCAACACCATGCTCACTATCCAACACATAACATCATGCACGGCCACAAACAAGAGCCTGGCTGAATTGCTGATGGGGAGAAAGTTGCGTTCCTACTTGGACAGACTGCACCCCACTTACAACCCGGAAAAGCCACCAGACTCTTCCAGTAAGTACCATTCTTTCCTACCAGGCGACTTAGTATATGCAAAAAACCTTACCGGAGAACTGTTGTAGGTACTGGCAACAATAACACAAATCACAGGACCTCGTTCCTACCGGCTAGAAACAGCTGACGGCAGATCATGGAAACGACACATCGACCAACTACGGTCACGACACATCGAATGAGACACCGACATTCCCCGGAGCGTGGAACAACATTTCCCCAAACACCCCCAGATGATAATAAAAAATGTAGAGGGGGGGGGGAACCATTTGATAATAAAGAAGCTGAAAATCATCCAGTTAGAAAATACCAACCGGAAATTGAAAACCGAGAAAAAAATAATAAAACTCACTTACCATTACATGACTTTGGAAAAAAAGAACTGAGGGAACTTCACAGAGGAAGCAGCCCAGCTGACGCTACCTGCCCGCGTACTGGGTGAGGAGACCACTCCGTCCATCCAACAAACCCAGGATGGAGCGAGAGCCCAACCAACCCAACAAGGCACGCCGATAGTGGCAGGGCTGAGGCACCCTTCCAGGAGGTTCCAGCGAGAAGACTGGGAAGGACAGCAGGCCTGTCCAAACCGGTGGAGACCAATGCAGGAACTGAACTGCACAGGTCAACTAGGACTCACAAGAGCCCCGCCTACCTGCGCGACTACATCACATAACGTTGGAACAAATCAAGAGGGGAGGGGTGTAGTGTATTCAAATAGAGACTTCTAAGACTACATTCCTGTTGGGTAGTTAAAGTAACGAAATGATTGGTCAATAACGACAGTTGCGGATTGGCCACCTAAGCGGCAGGAAGTTTAAATAGATGCCATTGGTTGCGAGCCGCGAGCAGCTGCTATAAAAGGGGCTGCCGCGGCTCGACTTCAGTTGAAGTTACGGTTTACTAATAAAGAGCTGAATTCAACTCCGGTCTTCGAGTCTCTTTAATCTGGCGAGAGAACATATTCATTCTCCACCTGTGGTCTGCAGACCATGGGGGGGGGGGGCATGATGTCATCACAGAAGGTCTGTGCAGGCTTGAAGAAATGTTATGATTTGAATCCTGAGTTAAGTCTTGGGGTGGGGGGTGGTCTGTGGCCACAAAAGGTATTTAAAGGTGCGGTCCGTTATGAAGGAAAGGTTGAGGCCCCCTGTTCTAGATGATGGCTGTTGTGAGGTGACGGATGGCAAAAGGAAACTCTCTTGATTTTTTTTTTTTAAGGAGGAATACATGTGGGAGAGGCCCAGGACTTCATATTGCTTATGTGTGATGTGAACCCTTTGATATATTGTCTGAATAAAGGAGACACCTCACTTTATCCTGAATCTTGATTTTTCTCCTCTCTCTGTTACAGCCACCAGCCAGGAATTTGAAATGTATCCAATGGTAAGTAGTGGGTGCAGGGCTGTAGGATCATATCTCTTTCATCAGAGAGGGAAAAATAAAATCTCTGGTACTGGAAAAAAATATTTTGTGTCTGTCTGTCTGTCTGTCTGTCTGTCCGCATCAGAAATGGTATTCAGCAGGTTCTGACCAGTTCTGGAGAACCAGTAGTGGAAATTTTGAGTAGTTTGGAGAACCGGCAAATCCCACCTCTGACTGGCCAGGCCCCCATCCATTCTCTGTCTTCCGTGTCCCAGCTGATCAGCTGGGTCTTCTTTTGTTGCCTTGCATAGGAGAATGGAGCTGGAAAGCAAGTTAGTGGGGTGTGGAGGGAATGGAATTTTGTAGTAACTTTCCCCTGCCATGCCCATCAAGCCACGCCCACAGAACCAGTAGTAAAAACAAATTGAATCCCACCACTAATATGCAGGTAGGTAGGTAGGTGGCGAGGGGAGTATGCGTGGGGCACTCCTGTCAGGAGCACCCTGCGGGCAGCCACGCCTTGCCCTGAAGCAGCTGGTGACTCTGCCTTTGGGAAGCTTCCATCAGCTGATAGAAACGGCCTCGTGGCGAGGGGAGTGTGCATGGGCACTCACCCCGAGGCCGCTTCTACCAGCCGATAGAAGCGGCTGGTGCCTCTGCTTTTGGGGAGCTTCTGTCGGCCGATGTTCAGGGTATTCTAACCTAGGCTAACTGTAGGGTGCTCCAAAAGGCAAGTTTCCTCCCCCCGCCCTCCCCCCCCATTTCTCTTCACCTTGTGTAATTCTAACGAACGATGTGAGAAATGGGGAAACGCATGGCTTAAATAGGCCTAAATTTTGGGGGCGGGCCTTAATTTCACCTCATGAAATCATGCTAGGCCTTCCTATTGGTGGAGGCCATACTGTTGGAGAAACACAGTACATATTCATTAATTATCTCCCCTTTTCAATCCCATTAATCATTTAACTTTTTATTACCTAAAACATTAAAATTAATACTCCCTTCAAAACTACGTAGCCTATATAAATCAGATTCTGCATGGTTTTTCCCCTTAATTTCATAAGACTTATTTACAATTTCAAAAAGAAAGACATGTAAATCTACTCATTTAATCCTGAACCCTGATGTTAATTCTGTTTTTCATCTTATTAATCTATATGTCCTTTATTTCATAACATTACATTTGTTTATACTACCCCTTGCAGAATCCCCTTTTTGAATGTTAATCAGCCATTATCTCTGTGTCTTTTAACTAAGCAATTTTCCCTTTTTTTTTACAATTCCCATATTTGTTTGTTTCCAAATCCTGTTTCTTCCTTCTTTCCCCCTTCATTTTCCCCTTTATTCTTTCACTCCGGTTTTTATCCCCCTCTATTTATAGCTTCCTTCTGCCCTTCAAGTTTCTGGTGATTCTTTTTATCTAATTTTCCGGCTGTTCCCCTCTTTATTTGACTTCTTACATCTCCTATATTTATTTCCCACTCTTTCCCTCCTTCTTTTCAAAGTTCTTCGTTCTTAATGGTAGATAAAGATGGCCTCTTCTGTAATCCACTCCACCTCCCCTTCTGTCTTTTGTCTTTGTTGTTCATATTCTGAAATCACGTTTTCCATAAGTTTTAGAGCAGAGCACAACGATTCACCTTGCTCTTGTAATGTTTTTTTCATGTTTCTAAGTTCCATTTTTAATTCCAGAAGAGATATCGCCATCTTACACCTTTCCGGCTAACAATTTAACTCAATTAGTGTCTGTAAAATTAGTGTCCAGGAGTCAGCTTTTGTTTTATTCCTCTCAAATTTTAGTGCACGGCTAATCCAGTACCAGATCCATGCCAGAAACAACAGTTAGTCCAAGGGCAGATTCTTCATGTTTCTTTCTTCATTTCAATGTTTCAGTTTTTCAAAGTTCTTGTTTTATTGTTTCAATTTTCCTTACAATTTTTAAGAAACAGAGTCTTTAAAAAACAAGTTAGATTTAACCATTAGATGGCACTTTTTGTTACAATGAAATCTCCCTCCCCCTTTTCACCCCCAAACTATTCAGAGCTTTTTAAACCACGGTCTTCCCAGAAAAAAAAATCAAATCCGATTGGTATTAAATTTTCCCTTTAACAATCTCTAGTTCAGCTTAGTTTAATGCCTATATAAAATCAGAATATATTTATCCAAAGTAGTTAAATGGTTTCTTTTTCTTCCAGCTTCTACCTTTCTTGGTTCAAAGTTCTACCGCTGTCAAAAACAATTCACACCTTTTTTCCCCTTTCTCTTTGCTGTTTTAAGTCCTTTCTTAAAAATTCTTAAAAATTAATCCTGGGGTATATTCCATTTAATTATAGCATCCTGTTCCTCCTGCTGTCTGCTTCTTTCTCTCTCCCGTGCTTAATCTTCCCCTTCAGGGTGGCCATTTTAAACCACCACTTCAGACGTCATTCGGGATGGATCAATTGCCAAGCCAGGGAGGGAATTTGCAACTCCCCTCTACCCGGCTGATGGTATCCCATTCCTCCGCCACCCCATGAGGCAGCTTCTGCCTCAAATCTAACCGATCGGGGCTCTCCAATGAAGGAGCACGGACCAAAGCCGCGGACGATTGTGGTCAGTGGTCCATCATCAGGGAAGCCCAAAGCCAGAAGCCCAAGGCCAACTTCTGTTCCATTAGTAAATTGCTCTCACTGTCAGAAAGCTTCTCCTTATTTCCAGGTTGAATCTCTCCTTGATCATCCATTGTTCCTTGTCTGGCCTTTGGGTGTTTTAGAACAGTGTCACCATCCAATGGGCCAGGGACCACTGGTGGTCTGCAAGAAAATTTTGGTAGTCCTCAGAGAAATGTCATCCCTAAAGCACCCTCCAAAGCAATTAATCCAGGCTGCGCAGGAACACAAGGCTTGCATCGCTTGCATTGCAAACAACACAAGGTAGTGAGGTGAGGGGGGAAAGGGCAGATGGGGGGAACTTGTCCCACGCGCCTTGCCTGGCCACTGGGCTGCTTCTTTCCACTTCTTTCTTCTGGTGCTTTTGGCTGCATGCAAGGAAAGCAGTAAAAGTCTTTCTCTCCCCCAAACTCCACCAGAAATGAGTCTTTGGGACCGTACATGGCATCCTGCTCCAAGAGGCTGCCCTGGTGCAACAAGTCTCACGAAGATTCATTTCTGGCAGAGTTTGGGGGAGAGAAAGAAAGACTTCTGCTGCTTCCCTTGCATTAAGCCAAAAGTCTCTCCCTCTCCCTCTGGTTGCTCATCCTGGTTGCTCTTCTCTGTAATTTTTTTCTAGAGTCTCGACATCTTTTTTATAATGTGGTGACCAAAAGTGGATGCAGTATGCTAGGTGTGGTCTTACTAAGGCTTTATAGAGTAGTATTAGTACCTCACTTGATCTTGATTGTATCCCTCTGGTAATGCAACTTAGAATTGCATTAGCCTTTTTGTGGGAGAGAAGGAGTGTATTTTCTCCTGACCCGATATTCTCCCCCCACCCTTGTTTTGATTATTTAATTACGTAGGAAAGTAATGGGTAATTCATGTTGTTGCTATTGAACTAAATGAAAGCACTGCTTGGTACTGGAAAGGCTTGTATGTATGTTTGTGTTCTGACCCAGTTCCCCAAACACGACAAACTTTCTGTAGTTAAAACAATGATTCCTTTATTAGGGGTCCCAGCAGCCCCAGCAAAAAGTTTCTCTTTCACCTCAGGATAACAAGTCCATCCAACAGGGAGATGAATAGTTGTCTATCACATCTATTCATCTCTGCCCCCTGCCTTTTATGCCCAGAGCTTGGGTGGGGTTTTCACTAGCAGTGGTGACTCTTCCAATTCAAGGATCGGCCCATAGATTTCCACTGCTCTCCTCTCCTCTGCCTTCTGTGCATCTGCACATCAGGCACTGGACCCAGCTGTTCCTCCTCTTCCTCATCAGCCACCTCCAGACTTGGGGGCTGTTGACTTTCCTCTGAAGGCTGATGGATAGCCCAGGCTCTATCCCTCTCCCCCTCCCTCCCTCCCTCCCTCCTTCTCGCTCTCTTTCTCTCTCTGACAGCTCCATTCCCTCTCTTCCCTTGGAGCTCTCAGGCTGCTTTGATGCTGACCCTGATTCTCACACCTTCTCCTCATCTGATTTAGCTGCTGAAGGGGGCAGTGGCCAAGAGGCCACCACAGTTTTGTTTGTGTGGTGTGGTGTGTTTGGGAAAAGTATGTAAACTAACTGCTTGCAAGGTTTTTCTTTTCACTTATTTTGAAAACAACTTTGCTAACTCAGATGTCTGGCGAAAAGGGGAGGGAAATGTGTCCCACGAGGAACGAGTGGCTAGCTGACTGTTGTCTCTCTGATAAGAACAGCCCTCAGTCCCAGGAGGTTGGCTCAGTCATTCTCCTGTTGTCTTCTCCGATTTGTCTCCCTTCCTCCTGAGCTCAAGACTCCTGTGGACTCTGCAAAGTTTTCGTGTTTTTTGTCTACCAGTTGCAAGACCAGAACCAGAGGCAGCAAGACCAGGACCAGAGGCAGCAAGACCAGGACCAGAGGCAGCAAGATCAGGGCCAGAGGCAGCAGAGGAGGAGTATGGAGGACTTCCAAAGAAAGCAAATGGAGCGTGGGCCATTAGGACCTTCGTGGAATTCTTACTGACTCTACCTTAAACTTTACTAAGCCCTGTGGCTTGTTTGCAAGCCGAGATTTCACTGAGTTTCTATTTTTACACCTGCACAGTGCAGAGAATGTGAAATTAAGACTTTCAAATGGTACTTCAGTACTCATTGTAAATTGGTTCCAGGGGATGTGATGAGTACCAAAACCGATGAGTACCAAATAAATTTTTCCCGTTAGGAATACAGTGGTGAGATACAAGGCAGCCAAACTGACAAATTCTAGCTTGTGTGCCAAGTACCAAATAAACAATTAGTACTGAGCAACATTTCCACGTCAAAATGCGCTAAGTATCAAATTCGATGAGTTTCAAAACAGTTGAGTACCAAGGTTACCATTGTACCTGTAAGAGTTTTACAACTGCTTATAGGTTGGTTCTGGAGTGCATAACACCAGACACGTCACTGGAAGGCAAAATCACAAAACGGATTCTTTTGGGGGTCCTGTTATTCCTTGTTTGTTTAGTACTCAATGCACAAACTAGAACTCAGCGGTGTCAGCTACCTTATGACTCACTACATTATTGCTTATGGGATAGCGTGTTTGGTATACATCATTTTTGGTCTTACTTATTTTGGTCATGTCATACTGGGGAATTCACTACAGCAAGCAGTTGTGTTTGGAAGAGTTAGTGGTTAAACGAAACTAGGCTGCTAAAGAACACAGAGGCTGGACACCATCAAAGCTGACACCAACCAAAGCATAGAACAACTTGAAGAAGTAATGCAAGAATGGAAGATGTAGAGAGTCCTGGCCCATAGAATCACCAAGAGTCAGACAAGACCAAATGGATAATCGTAGATTGGTTTCCAGTGACTACAGTTGTGTTACATGGACTAATTGGTTGGACTATTATCCCAGTGGATCACAGTTTGCTATGTGTTACAGGAGGTTTTCCCTCCCATTGACTGTCTCACTGAGTCTTTGCCACCAAAGGACAGAAGTAAACAAACAAAAAGCCAAAATTCTGTGCTGTATTTGCTGTTAGGAATGTAAGTCACCTAACAGATATTTGGGTTGGAACATATATAAACCAGGATAGACATTTTAATACTGTATCTTTAAGAATGCAAAAATTGTAATTGGGTGTGTTTTCTCAAACGACCATAAGATGGAGCCAGAAACCTAGGTTGTTTAGTCTTAGTCTTAGACTCAGAAGAGAGTGTGTCTCAGTGAGACTCTGTTTCCTTCTGTTGGAGACTTTTGCCATTCCTTCTAATTGACTGTTATTCATGGATTTGACGTAAGTCTGTTACTGAACTGTTTTTGATACTGGACTTTGTTATTGGATTATCCCTAGACTGAAAACTGACTGACTTACCTGTGAATGACTTTGGACTGCTTATTTTGAACTGTGCTAAAACCTTTATTGAAAGTAAAAAACCTACATTTACTGTACAGTGTATCTGTGTGCTGTGTGTGTATTATTCAAACACTTCTCTCACTACATCTCCCTGTATGCGCTCATTCTCCTAATGGGGAATTACCTCAACATTTGCATGTTTGAATATTTACACTGATATTTAACACATTTTGGAAAGTTTGCGTGTAAATGGGACATTGAGAAAAGAACAGGGTCTTTTTATAATATGTAAACCTGAGAAACTCACCCCACCCCTATATATACTTTACATTTGCAAACATGTAAGTATCTTTGAGCCATGGGGAGAAAATCCTAGAGGGTACTAAAAATAAAATTAAAAAACCCACCATTTTAGCTAAAGTTACTGTGTTTTCCCGAAAATAAGACCTGGTCTTGTTTTCTTTTGGGCTCAAAATAAGCACCAGGTCCTATTTTTTTTTGGGGGGGGGGTGTCTTACCTGTCTATCTTAGGACTATCATAGCCAAGCTTCCCACACCCCAACACCTGTCATGCTGCTGTCAGACTTCTGTGGCCGCTTGCAAGCATTTGCAGCCCAGACACTAATGGCTCGTCATGCCAGTGCTGCCGCTTGTGGCTGGTCACATGTCACATGCCACCATTCATGGCAGGAGGCACAAAGTGCATTGCACCATTGTGTATGTGAGCACCGCCACTGTCACGATGAGCCACCACGTGAGCAGCAGCACCGGCATAATGCAACATGCAGTGTCCTGCTGCAAGCAGCGCCATCAGCGTGACACCACATGGTCTGCCACAAGTGGCATCTGGCCACAAGCCATTGCAGAAGAAGTCGGACAGTGGTACTCATGTATCTACTCGCATTTGCTAGTTGGCAGGAGCTAGGGCCAATCCACATGCTCAGAGAATGAACCTTTATCCTCATCCTACACCCGAGCTACAGATATTTGCCACTACTGCAAGCCACAAGCACTTCAGCCTGTCCTATTCAGTCCCAGTCAAGGTTGAAGATTGCATGAGGCTGAGAAACCCACCTAGTGGCCCAACAGATGCTCTGAGGCTCTCTCCATAACCAGTAGGGATCGGGACTCCCTCAATAGAGCTACTGGATGGTTGCCAGAAGATGCAACTTAAACTAAAATTGAAGCGGAAAGAGAAAGATTCATTCAATGCCAGAGAGCAAATAGAAAGTGGGGTGTTCTTATGACTTTTGCTTCAAGCACTCGCTTTCTTGGACCACCTTCTTTCTTTCTCGCAGCAGCTCCTGTGGGTTCAGCAACCTCGGAGGTGTGAAAGCACCCAGTGAGGCTCCTGAACAGCAATGAAAGGCTCAAGAGGGAGAGAAACTGCAGGTGTTCATCTCCGGAGCTTCTGAGAATAGCAACTGTCTGTTTGAACAGCTTCCTGGAAGTAGGCTGGAGGGGCTAATCAGATCTTGGGGAGGGGACTTTGTCAGAGGATTGAGGAAAATCACTGCTTATGGGCCTCTGCCTCCTCCCCTCCTCTACTCATAAGCAGGACAGAAAATCCAATCAGAGCCCATTGGAGGGGTGACCCTGTGGACCATCCTGGTCCAGGCTCTCCAAGGCTTTGTAAGTTCCAAGCAGCACTTCGAATTGTATTCAGAGTCCCATAGGAGGCCATGCAACCCCCTCCCCTGCCCCTCCTCCATTGTAGGGCTCCTGTACTGCACCCTCATATCCCAGCCTGCATGCAAGATGCTGTCATTTGAACCAGCTGCAGTTTCTGCATAGTCTTCCAGGGGAGCCCAAGGACGAGCATCAGTGGTGGTAAGCTACTGGTTTGGACTGGTTTGGCTGAACCAGTAGTTTTTTAAAAAAAAGCCTACGATCAGCTGAGACAATCAGCTGAGAGGAAAAAAAGAGAAAAGCCCAGGATCGACCCTTCTACCCATCCCTGTGCTTTTCTTTATCCTCTCAGCTGATTGGCTCTGCAGGTCTCAGATGGTGTGGGGAAAGCTGCGTGCCGGTGTTAGGCAAAGCATGCCCACCAAACCACCCTGTCAAGCCTGAAATTGACCCATGCGTAGCCATTTTAGTTAGGCTTGGTATATAAACTTTTTCTTACTTTCTCTGTGGCAGTCATGGGGGGAAGGGTTTCGGGCTTGCCACATTCCTAAGGGGTGGGGGAGGAGTGGAGGTAGAGTTGTTTAGGCTAGGTGATTCTTCTTCCCGTGGGAAAATGAACTCTCCGTGCTTAAGCCCCTCGAGGCCCCTTGATTTATGACATCAAGCAACGTTGAATTACTTCTAGTGGAGAATGTGACTTTGGGGGGTTGTTTCTAACATCTAATATTGTGGTGTAATTCCAGGTGTAATTGTGTCAGATCCAGAATTACCACGGACTTTGCCAATTTGAGGCTTTCCTAAACAAAAGAATTTGTCTTGGAAGATGGACTTTGCTCTTTTTCTATTTTGTAATAGATTTCATCACTTGGAAACCTGACACACGCCCACCAAGCCACACCCACCGAACCGGTGGTAAAACAATTTGAATCCCACCACTGATGAGCACACGGTAGTAACCTAATCTGGGGCATCACAAGGGTGTGGAGAATAGTGTTGGCGCTCTCCCTTGAAAGGGGCGGGGCACATGGTATACCAACCAAATCTGGTCAGAAGGATTCCTGGCCAGGGCTTCAATTAGGTCTTCAGGGAGGACATCTGTGTGACCCTAACGGTGGAAGGGGGCAGCTGTCAGCATTCCAGCAACTCTCCATTCCAATCAATAACTCCGAGACATCTCTCAAAGTTATCTTTATTTGGATAGTAACTGGCACATCTGTGGAATCCTGAACCTGAAAGTTTCTGGCTTCCTTCCTTCCTTCCTTCCTTCCTTCCTTCCTTCCTTCCTTCCTTCCTTCCTTCCTTCCTCAAAACTACAAATCCATCCCCCCTTAGCCATCATCACATCACATGGTCCAATCGCCATCCATCCTAAAGTAAGATTCCCGTTTCATTATGTGCCACACTCCATGACCTTGAACCAAGCAAAAAGAATTTTATTTTGTCTAAAACTAGATGTACTCAAATGAATTCCTCCCTCCCACTTTCTCAGGCTCGATTGTGGCAGCATGGGAGCGTCGAATCTCAATATGGCTTCCAAAGCTGACAACCGCTTTCGAAGCAAAGAAGAATCTAAGGCCCTTCCCCAATTAGCTCATGGCCCCTCATTGAAATTCTCAGCAGAAGGTCCTCCTTGTCTTGGAGGGGGGCAGCTCTCGTCCTCCTCTTCCCATCCCCCCACTTCCTCCTCTTCTTCAGTCATCAACTTCAACTGGATGAGAAGAGAGCCAAGGGCAGCTGCAGGACTGAAGGGAGGGGAAGTTTCCTCTCCGCCCTTTTGGGTCAGAACCAGAGGTGGGTATTCAGCAGGTTCTGACCAGTTCTGGAGAACCGGTAGTGGAAATTTTGAGCAGTTTGGAGAACCGGCAAATGCCACCTCTGACTGGCTCCACCCTCATCTATTCTCTGCCTGCCGAGTCCCAGATAATCGGCTGGGTCTTCTTTGGTTGCCCTGCACAGGAGAATGGGGCTGGAAAGCAGGTTAATGGTGGGGAGGGAATGGGGATTTTGCAGTAACCTTCCCCTGCCATGCCCACCAAGCCATGCCCACCAAGTCACATCATGCCCACAGACCCGGTAATTAAAAAAAACTGGAATCCCACCACTGGTCAGAACCGCATGCAAAGGACCAAGTTGGGTCTTGCTTCAGAACCAGATATTGTTTGTTGAGATCTTGGCGTTTGTTTGGCAAGTTTGGCTTTCCCCCTCTTTTGGGGGGCTGCACATTTAGCAAAGGATGGCTGGCTGGAAGTGGGAAAGCCACTACATGCACCAGGATTTTTGGCATTGGGAGGGGGGAGGAGAGGGACCTCATCAGGTGGAAGAAGGAGCCCCTTCTTTGGTTGGCAGTTGTGCTCCCAGGTCAAATGCTCAGGTGAAAGTGAAACGTGGATGCCATGAGTTCTACCTGGACTAGTACCTGGACTATGGAAAGGAGACTTCGCAGAGGACAGGGGAGAGGCAGAATGGGCCTCTGGAAGGCCAGAGAAAATTCAGAAGAATAGAGGGCAAGATGAGAAGTAATGAGCAGGGCTGGCTGGGGAATTCTGGCACTTGAGGTCCACAAGTCTTACATTTGCCAAGTTTGGAAACCTGTGTAGAACATTGGGTCCCACCACTGAAAGAAGAGGAACCTTAAACAATGGATGGATAGATAGATAGATAGATAGATAGATAGATAGATAGATAGATAGATAGATAGATAGATAGATAGATAGATAGAGTAGAATGGAATGGAATGGAATGGAATGGAATAGAATAGAATAGAAATATTGGAATGGAATGGAATGAAATAGAATAGAATAGAATAGAATAGAAATATTGGAATGGAATGGAATAGAATGAAATAGAATAGAATAGAATAGAATAGAATAGAATAGAATAGAATAGAATAGAATAGAATAGAATAGAATAGAAATATTGGAATGGAATAGAATAGAATAGAATAGAATAGAATAGAATAGAATAGAATACTTTATTGGCCAAGTGTGATTGGACAAAAGGAATTTGTTTTGGTCCAAATCCTGTCAGTGTTCATTCAAAAGAAAAAAAATACGTTTGTCAAAAGTCATAGGTGTAGTCAAAGGGTACTGAAGTGGGTGGAGGCTCAGGCCAGGAA